TACGGTCTCACCAAGGAGTCCATTTCACAAGGGCTTTTCTTCCCGCTTGCTCCCAGTCTGCCCTTTCAGGCTGTTTATCCAAACCCTATGTTTAAAGAGGTGTGTTGGAGATCTAACATCTGGCCACGGAAGACGGCGTTCTGGGTGCTGCTGTGTCAAGGTAACACCTCCACATCCTTTGGGCAGCGCCAATGTTTGGACAGTGTTAAAATATAACCAGGGTTTCTTTCTGCAGAGCCGTGCCCTGGCTGTGCCCCAGCCCTCCCCAGCCTGCGGGGAGACACCACCTGGATCCCCCCCACCCCCGGAGCCACGCAGGGCTTGGGGCACGGCATGGGCACTGGTCTCTGAACAAAGCACACATTAATATCTGGGGAAGCAACCTCTGAGCAATAGCTGCAGGAACAGACACGATTAAGCGCTGTGGAGAAAAAACAATTAAGCCCATCAGCTAAAATATTAGGACAGCAACTCTGCAAATTGTCACGTCTCCACTCTCTGCCAGCCACGGGAAGGTCCATCCCTACACCCCAGGGAATTCAGGAAAAACCCCCAACACCAGGCACAGTCAATTTCTCAAGTAATTAATTAACGGCGACTTGTTGTTATTAATGTGGAGGTTCCCAGAGTACGCGATTGTTTAGTCCCCCTAAAATCACCAGAAAAGAAAAATTGCTGCAACAAGTTTTCCTTGGATTTGAAAAATGGCCTTTCTTTTCTGAGCAAATTCAGAGCTGCAAAACCAGAAGGCTGGTGCCTCCCAGCTGAGCGGCTTTCGAGCCCCGTTCCACTAAAAGGGTTGCTTTTCAAGCCTTGTCAATCTAAGGAAATTTATTTAGGCAGTCTCACGGGAAGGCCTTGGCAAAGTATTAATGGGTTTCTTTTATAAAAGAGGCCTTTATTCACTGCTCTTTAAGTTGGCCTGTGTCTCGTTCGGCTTTTTGAGTTCATGTGCAGAGAAAACGTCTGGCTTTGACAGTCTCCATGCTCCAGCGCCCTTGCGGGGCTCGGGAGGAATTTGTTAAGCCCGGAATGAAACATCTGGCTCAACAATAACACAGCTGCATGGAGCCTGCCCCCCGGGACAGAGGGGTCCTGCAGCCCTGGGCACCGCGGGGAGGAAAAGCCCTTCTCCCACTGCGGGTGGTGCTGGAGCTGAAGCTGGATGGTTGGAGCTCCAGGGTGTGCCTGTAGCCCCTGGGACCTGCAGGGCCGGGCTCTCACCGCAGAGGGTTTGCCCCATTTCACCTCGCAGCCCCCTCCCCACAGCTCCCACCGAGCAGCACACGGGGTGCCCAGGCCATTCAGGGGGACACATTTCCAGCAAAGGCTGTGGAAAAGCCATGGAAGAGTTACCCTGTCCAAGCGAGTGGAGCAGTGAAACACGTCAGCAATTCGCACAATTAAAAAAAAATATTAAAATAAGAAAATCTGGTTCAAAAAAGCGTATTCAGCCACTGCAGCACGGGTCCTGCAGCCAGCTGGGCAACGAGACACTGCCCTGGCTCACCCTCACAGCAGCAACCCGGGCTGGGGGGGCATTTCTTGGGGGGCTTCCCATCTGCAAGGTGGTTTGAGATGACACCTGGAAGCTGCTTGAAGCAGAAGAGGTTATTGGAACACTGTTTTTTGCTCAGAAGGCACTTTGCTTTCCAGGAAGACAAACCCCACTTCCTTCAGTCTTCTGCACCAGCAGCGCGTGGACACGGGAAGCATAAATGGGATATTCCTGCCAGAGGAGCCCCACGTGCTGAGCACGGTGCCATGGGGACACTGGGGATACTGGAGCACATCCCCTCTTGAAATGGGGCAACAACGCATAAAAACCTCAGCATGCAGAGATTTACTTTCGGCGTGATTTGGCTGAAGAAGTTGAGTTAAAAAGTAAATAAAAGCTCAAATTAGACTTATATAGGCATAATTAACCTCACTTTTTATAGAATAACACATACCCACATGAACTTTATTTAGCTCAGTCCTACGGCAGCAGCCGGTGTGAGCCTCTGGAAGAGTGTTTCCACTGAAACACACCAGCACTTCATGAGTACTTGCTTTTGCACCTCTAAATTTTTCTCTCTGGGGCTTTTAAGTGAGTTTTATGGTAGTGTTTATATAGCTACCTTACTCTGCCTTTGCTTTATGTTTTTTTTTCACCTGAAGCCACTGAATTCTGAGTTTTATTAGTTAGAGGTATCTGAAATCACATTCTTTTAAGAACTGACTGCACTAATAAAACTCCTGAAAAGTTTTTGTTTGAGGCAAACGCCTTCTGCCCAGGTGTGTCCTGTTCTCCTTGAGCTACACCAGGGATGAACAACTTATCTGTGCTGTTTGTCACCACCGAGACAAATAACAAGAGCCCCATCAATTCCTACAAGTCAGGACCGAGACAGTTCATTGGAGAAATATCCAAGCAAACAGAGTTGGTTTTTTTTTTTTTCTTGAAATATATTGTAAAGTCAAACGCTCTGCTCTTCTTGCAGAGAATAAAGTGAAACACAGCTTGACCACCATCGAGCCAAACCTCCACCTCGTGGGCCACAGCAAAACAGCCTCTTCCAGGTGGGGAGGAAGGATCCTGCAGAGCAGAACCTCTCCAGTGCTCAAAAGCCATGCACCACAGAAAAAGGTCAGAACAGCGCATTCCTTACCTCATTTAAAGAATTTCTTACCTTTTCTGCAGGGTCCCAGCAGCGTGGGGGGTGTAGAGCTGGCCCCAGACCCACACACCGTCCATGCCCCATAGCAACCAGCTCTCACCCCACCACCAGTCAGTCGCTCCCAAGGACAGAATTCCCTCTTCATGGGTTCAGGGCCCATAAATAAATCACAGTGCCCAGGTGTTTTCCATAGAGCTCTGAGGGAAACCTGTTAAATGTCTCCAGATCTGCCTCCCCCTGGCTCTGCCTGGGGAAACCTGTGCAAAGCAGTGGTGGGAGCAAGCCCTGCTGTGAGACTCCAGCCAGCTCCTCAGCACCATGGGGTGGGTGACACCTACCCTTGAAGGTGTAGCCCATTAACAAGGAGATACCGTCTTCCTGTTACAGTGACAGATAATTTTCTCCTACCCATCTGAGCTGAGAAATTTTATCTTGAGTCCTCTTGTTTCCCTTAGAGTAGATATCACAAATTTATAGAAAGAATCTGCTTTCACTGAAGCAAAGGGCTGCCTTCTTCCAAGCACGCCTCCCTTGCTGAGGTGTGTAAAGCCATTGCTCCAGCCACTGTTCATTTCTGAACCATTTTTCTCCCCACCTTAGTTAATTGGGTTTTTTTCTCCATGCTTATGTGCAGGGCAGTGCCCAGGACCCCCTCCCCACAGCTGGGGCCAATTCCTGCCCAGGGGACACATGGTCCCGGGTGGGGATGACCCTGCTGGTGAGGGGAGATGCCGTGGGAAACCTGGGAGGGGGAAGGTGACCCGAACTGAGCCCCTGTCCTTAAACAGCCTCTGCCTTTCCGCTGGCGAAATCCTCCCAAATCACAAACAGAAGGTCCCTTCTCCTTCCTCAAATATTTCTTAAAAAAAAAAAAAAAATTATATAAAAGCAGGGACCACAAAAAAGACAGCGCTGCAAATATTTGTAGATTCAGATCAGTTGAGCTCTGAAACACTTCAGCTTGCAAAACTTCAGCTGAACTGCGGTTTCTCCCCCGTCAATGGTTATTTTCTCTCTGCCCCCCGGCCCCGCCGTGCTCCCGGCTGGCTGTGCAGTCGGGGGGAGCAGGGGAAGCCCCCCCGTGCCTGGCTGGGGCTGGAGGCTCTCCCTACACCGCAGGCGGGTGATGGACCACGGGCCAGGGCTCGGGCACGGCCACCCCTCCCTGCAGAGCCACTGCGCTCCAATATTCATTTCCCATCCATTAACGAGTTTATTTTCAAAGCTCTCCTAGCCCATCCTGAGGAAACACCGGGGGTGACTGCATTTTACCAAGGCCAGCAGTGTCCCGGGGGCAGGGGTGGCAGCGTGCTGGCGGCAGCAGCAGCATCTCTGACCTTCCTCCTTCCCTCCTCCTCGCCGAGCCCTCGCCCCACCGCAGCCCCCTTCCCTCGGAAAGGGAACTGGAGCAAAACTTGGGAGACTTTCATACCCAGAAATAGGTTATTTAACGTTTTAGGAACATTTTCATGTATTGTCTGTCATATTTAGGAGAAAAATTATACAGCGGAAACTGGAGCTGAACGTTCACGTAGGAGACACCATCACTGGGGACAATCCTTGGACACAAGGTGGCTTGAGACCATCCCACCGCAGGGAGGGTGGTGGGGACAACCCAATCCCCGGGTGACGGCTGGGGATGAGGGGATGGTCACCCCCCACCACAGTGGAGAGTAAAGCAGCCCTGGACTGGGAGGCAGGCACCAGTCTCGGAGTCATGCCCGCCCCCCCCCCCCCCGTGCTGGGGGGCCAGTGCTCCCCCCAAAACCTTGGCCTCCCCCCCCGCGTCCCAGCTGC